TGGTATTTGACGGTATTTTTCTTTTCATCACAGCTCAGCTGATAAAAAAATATACAAACCCTGCTTATTGACCTTTTTTCTTTTACTGTACCTCTGTCTGTGTCGCTGTTTCCCTCCTCTGTGTCTGTTCTTCTCTGACTGGTGGTTGCAAACAGTAGTCATGCATTTTGGTCCAGTCATGAAGGAGGAGGGTTAAGAAAAGATTATGATCGGGTTAATTTTTTTATGTTATTTATTAAAGCTTATCAGCACGACTCACCTTGCACACCAGTCAATTCCAACTCCACTACGAACTACTTCCTGCAGGCTTTTCACAATARAACCACGTTAAGTCTCCATCAGCATAACDTCTCCATATTAACTAACYGYGTTAAATCTAACTGTGTACGTCACTGAAGAGGTGTTTACTACATTCAGCGACGGCGAAAATGGGATGTTTTTTAAACGTCAGTCAATATAAGCAGTGGAATCACCACCCGCAGCTGCAACTAGCTGCTCCAAACATTAGCATGCTAACGCACATAGCGGTGCAGCAAGGAAAAATGTCCCCCGGGAAACAACAGTTAACTGGCGGCCGCAACGAAATGTTCCTCTATTTAAACTGGAATGTCCGGTATTCAGAAAATTCATATCATAACAAAAATAAAAACCGGTATTCGGTACAAAATGGTATACCGCCCAGCACTAATGACAAGGTTTTTAAAATAGTTTGTTGTTAAGGGTTTACTTCAGTTTTTCACATCTAGAGAGTGATATTTTTGTCCAATCTTTGCAGAATAGCTTCAGCTCAGTCAGACTGGATGGGGAGTTGTTTCTTCACAGCAGTTTTCTCCTCAGATTTTCAGTTGAATTTAGGTCTAGACTTTGACTGGGCCTTTCTAACACACATGATTCATTGTAGCTCTGGCTGGTTGTTTGGGGTTGTTGTCCTACTGCAACCCCCCCCTGCCCCAGTCTCAAGTCTCTCACAGCCTCTAACAGGGTTTTCTCTTGTATTTAGCTCCATCTAACTTTTCATCAACGTTGACCAGTTTCCCTATCCCTGCTGGAAAAAAGCCACCCCACAGCAAATGTTTCATTTTGGTCTCTTCTTCACACGTGGCTTGTGGCAAACACGACTTCGGATGACTTTCTTCTTCACACTCTTCCATAAAGACCAGATTTGTGAAGTGTACAACTGACAATGGTTCTGTGGACTGATTCTCCCACCTGTGCTGTGGATCTCTGCAGCTCCGAGTTACCATGGGACGTTTTGACTGCTTGTCTGGTTAATGTATCCCAGATAAGACTCCCATTGACTCAGTATAAAAACAGATTTCAGTCAATAATAGGACTGTATTTATGTCTAGCTTTTAGCCCTAGTCGTCCTGTAAGCCAGTTCGATCCCCTGTTCCATCCGTCTCGATTATTGTCTTTGGGCAAGACCCTTGACCCACCTTGTCTGCTGGTGATGGTCAGAGTGCCCTGTGGCGCCAGGGCAGCTGTAGCTACAACGTAGCTTATCACCATCAGTATGTGAATGGATGTAAAGCACTTTAGAGTTTGTAGGGACTTGATAAAGCTATATAAGTTCAGGCCATTTAGCAGGCGCCTGTCTAATGGGCGCAGGTCTTCWGCAGTCTGGATGTTGATTAAGGATGGTAAAATCAATGCAAATAGTTGAACAACTGCTGTGTATTGGAAATTGTAACATCAGACTTATAAATAAAATAAAACAGCAATAAAACGGCACTCAGTTGTAAATTATAAAAGTATCTGGATTTTTAGTTTAGTTGCTGTCTGAAACTGAATGTAAAGTTAATGAATAAAGATGGTCAATAGTCTTGTTCAAAAAGCAGCTTGTGCTAGAAAAGTATGTTCTCCTCAAATATACAAATTAATGTCACAGTCTTCAAATAGGTACTTGAAATAGACTATACTACTTCTCTCATGTGAGCCATTTTCCCACACACAAATCGAAATCTACGAGAGGAATTGAAATCCCTTCAGAAGTTCCAACCTAAAAAAAAAAAACCTCAATTAAACCATTTTCCTCTCGTCTCATGAAACAACCTCACTTCTAATGGTCTCAGTAAATCCAGCTGAGGATTCATTTTTGTTGATCTCAGATGTTTTTTCTCACCACAAAACTACCACGTAATTGCAGACATTTAAAATGAGATTTTGTGGGAATAAATGCTGGTAAATCAGTTTTCAGCTGTTTTTATT